ATACAAAAGCAAGGCCGACAGCCCCTCCGAACTCGCTTTCGGATGACTTTTGCTCTGCCCGTTTCATCACTTGCGCAGATTTTTTCAATCTCATTTCGGGAGAACTTCCCTGACGGCACAGGAGAGGAGATTTGTACCGAGTACAGCATCTCTGCTCCCGTTGCCATTGCCGTGCCCTCTTGTCGCACCGCATTCTTCATATTCTTGTGCAGCGCCGTTGCTTCCATCTGCACTGAGAACCATTTCAGTATTTTGTCATTCTCTGAGACCAGTCCCAAAGTGACTCCTGCACGATCCTTTCCATGTCGATCGAATGCTTGAAGAACGATGTCCGCTGCTTCAAGGCTCGAGCACGTTGCGATCCAGTCGACCTCTCTGTTCTGGTTGACTGTTTCTATTCCTACCGCAGCGAACACCTTCTTTGGCGGTAGGTTCCTCTTGGGGGGGAGGTTCACTGTCATTCCCGCGTTTGGGATCAGATCAATGATCGCTAATCCCTGCTTCAGGCATAGCTGCCTGTAGATCTCACATATGTCACCTGTGCTCGAATCGTTGAGCATCAGGAGTTGGGCCACCTCAGCTAGGATTCCAACTCTGCCCATGTTCTCCTTCTTTGGCCGCATCTTGAACGAGATCGGTGGGTTGGCTGCTGGGTTCACTGCTAGGATCCTCCTGCCTGCCACCTTGAAGGTACCTTCTCCTTTCCAGAGTTTCTCAGCCGCCTCATTGCGGACAAATGTGATCACTGCTGGGATCTCCGCTGCCTGCACAAGGTCAGGCTTCAAGGGAGCCTTGAAGATCAGGCTCCTGCTGTCTTGCGTCTGATCGACGATCAAGCCTTGCTCTTCAAGCTTGAGGCATAAGTTTTCCACCTGTCTGGAAAAGTATGCAGGGATCCCAAGTACCTTCATGGTAATCGTCTGCACACTTGTGCCCTGGTCATCATATGATCTGGCCTCCATCTGCCTTTGTCTGTCAGCTTGGAACTCTGACAGGTACCACTGCCTGACATCGTCACCCCACTGCCTGAGCCCTTTCGGATTCTCCAGTGACGAGGGTTCAGCAAAGCTGCATGTCTGACTGATGGCTTCGGCTAAGGCTTCCAAGGATATTTCTTTGGCTTTCAGAGCTTTGCTCGTCCTGCTTTTGGGGTTCTGCCTTGCGAATTCATCCAGTCTCCGCATCAGTTCGGCTGATGACGGCATCGTGGCAGCTTCCGTCTGCCTCTTGAGGTAGCTGGAGGTACGGTACTGCACGATCTCGTCAGGGTTCACAATAGATATTGGCCACATGTTTCGAAGCATTCTCGATGGTTTCCCGAGCTTCCTGCGTTCCTGGCGACTCTTGCTCTACCACGCAGGGACCCCGCTGATCTGCATGCCTCAGATAAAGGGATCCTGCATGCCTCAGATAAAGGGATCCTGCATGCCTCAGATAAAGGGATCCTCTCATGCCTCAGATAAAGGGATCCTACATGCCTCAGATAAAGGGATCCTCCTGCCTCAGATAAAGGGATCCTCCTAAACCCTAAACCCTAAACCCTAAACCCTAAACCCTAAACCCTAAACCCTAAACCCTAAACCCTAAACCCTAAACCCTAATCCCTAAACCCTATTATTATTATTATTATGTGAGTTTATTAGAATGCTAGAATGTTGCTCGGCCTCGTTGTGGGCTTATGCAATTTGATCCTAGTCTAAAGAGGCGCTCGAGCACTGGGAGTACACGGCCTACAATGCGAACCCTGCTTCTGAGGCGTCTTTCTACTCTTTACTTCTTCTGTCTTCTCTTGGCTTCCTCAGCCTCAGTCAGGAGAGTTGCCTCTCCTCACCTTGGCCTTCGGTCGCCACCTACTCCTCCTCCATTCAGCTTCCTCAGCCTCAGTCAGGAGAGTTGCCTCTCCTCACCTTGGCCTTCGGTCGCCTCCTACCTTCTCTCCTTACCTTGAGCTCAGCTCAAGCTCGGTACGGGCTCGCCCTGTCTTCTTCCTCGCCCTCGCCTTGCTCTTCCTCCATGTCTTCCTCTTCTTCGTCATCTTCCCTCATCTCCACTCGCAGTCGGTCCTTCTTGTCCACCTTCAGCGAGCAGGCCAGCACATGCATCTCTGCGAATTTACTCAGTGCTATGAACAGGAAGCTAAGAGATCGACGCTCTATGTCGTCGCTCTCCGCCTCCTGCTCAAGCTCAGCAGCTGCCGTTGCCCGTGGCGAGAACGCGCTGCCCCTCCTTGCCTTCTTGCTCTCTCCTTGCACGCGAGTCCAGCGCTTGCTCTGCAGCCACTTCCCCAGCTTCTCCTTGAGAACGTTGCGCCCAACTCCCTGCTCCTCTGGCATCTTCGCCCACTCTCCCAGCGACATGAACTCCAGGCTCCCCGGAGAGTAGAAGGTGTCGTGGAGGTTGCCAACGGCCTTGTCCAGGACCAGCTTGATCGGCTCGCTCGTCCCTGCCTCGTTCAAAGAAGCTGCATCTTCGATGACTGCTGACAGCTCGCTGACGAGCTGCATGTCCTCTTGGCTTGACGGAGATGCTGCCTCCATTGTGATCCTCTCCAGGTCTGTAAACTCCAGCCACTCTCCCTCGCTCTCCTCCTGTCGCTGCGCTGCGTCGCTGGTGCCCCGCTGACCAGCCGCCTCAGGCTCCTTGTCGAAGCCGACTGCTTCGAGCTTGGTTGCTGCGCCTTCGAGATAGAAGGGCAGCTCCTTCATCATGCGTCGAGCATCCTCCGTGGAGCCGAGGAGGATGCATAGCTTGGACCCGTTCCAGGACTTAGTGTTCAAATCCTCCTCCATGTCGATGCCTTCAACTTTGATCTCGAGCCTGTTAGCGATCTCCAACAAGACTCTCTTGACTCTTGCGATGGACGTGTTGCCGCCGTTGCACAGCCCCTCCATCTCCTTCCTCGTGAAGCGACCAGATGCCGCCGTCGACTTGATGATGATCTTGATCTCCTTGCCGTCCTTGCCGCCTGCCTTCTTCTGCATCCTTGATGCCTTCTTCAACTTATTTCTGGACACAAAGCGATCGGCTGTCAACTCGACTGCGAGCGCCTCTCTGATCTTCGGGTCCTCGCTGAACAGAGTCAGGTGTACTCCCTCCATCGCTTCGCTCTCTCGGAAAGCTCGAAATGCTGTATCATTCGCCTCTGGGCAGCTCGAGGAGACGATCCACTCCACCTCCCTCTGTCTCCAGATGACGTTGGCCCCTACAGCGACGAAGCCTTTCTGACCTAAGCCTTTGTGGACTTGCTGGCCTGGCGCCCCAGCGACCAGCATGCCTGCCAGCGGCTGGAGTTGGACCGCTGCAAGGGACTGGCGCAGCAGCTGATAGCGATAGACGGCAGCTATCTCAGCCGTTGTCATGCCGCCCAAGGTTAGTAGGTGAGTCAGCTCTGCCAAGCTGCCCCCTTTGCCCCAGGGTCCTCTCTTGGCTCGAATCTTGAAAGATCGATCGTGCACGATGCTCACATGTACAGCTGTGAACTTGCGACCATCGATCGCGAAGTCCTCTCTTCCCTGCCAGAGCTTCTCCGCTTGTGCATTGCGGAGGAAGGAAACAGTCACCGGGATCTCCTCAGCACTCGCTATCTCGGGTCTATACGGAGCCTTCCACATGATTGCTTTACTCTCTTGCACTGAGTCTACGATCAGTCCGATCTCTTCGAATTTCTTCTTCAGCTTCTCTTCATGGTTGACATACACCGAGGAGATGCCCAGGAGAGTCATGGAGATGAAGGGAGTCACCTCGTTGCCTGCTGAGGCGGTGTATGTCTCGACCTTCTCCTTCTTGGCTTCTTCAATCTGCTGCATAAACCACTCTCTGGATGCGTCACTCCATCCAGTCATCGCTTCTTGCAGAAGCTCACGTCGTGCCTGCTGACATGTCGAGCGGATGGCTTCTGCGATAGCGTCGGGGGTGCATCCCTCCACAGCCTTGCAAGCCTGGGCTGTCCTGCTGTTCGGATAACGCTTCGCGAAGCTCTTCACTCTCTCGACGAGATCAGCTTCGAGGACAGAGGCATCCACAAGTCCGCTCTGCGTGTATTGGCATGATCTCCGATACAGCAGGTTGCGAACATTTTCATCATACTGAAGGACCATACTTAGAAAGCTATTTGAAGTATACAAACCTCTTGCTTGCAGCTTCCTTGGCGCCCTGGCGGCTTCCCCTACACCTGACGAGGAGCCATGCTGCCGAAAATAACGGCGCCTGCTGCCGAAAATAACGGCGCTGCTGCCGAAAATAACGGCGCGCTGCCGAAAATAACGGCGCTGCTGCCGAAAATAACGGCGCCTGCTGCCGAAAATAACGGCGCTGCTGCCGAAAATAACGGCGCTGCTGCCGAAAATAACGGCGCCCTAAACCCTAAACCCTAAACCCTAAACCCTAAACCCTTGTCGAACAAACATCGAGGAAATCCCTAGGAGATTCATGGAGATGAAGGAGGTCCCCTCGGTGCCTTCGGTGCCGATGTATGTCTCGACATTCTGCTTCTTGGCCTCCTCCATCTGTTGAATAAACCATGCTCTCGACTCTGAGCTCCATTCGCTCAGAGAGTCTTCAAACAGGTCGCGTCTCGCCTGCCAACATGTCGAGCGGATGGCTTCAGCGATAGCGTCGGGAGTGCATCCCCCCTCAGCTCTGCAAGCATAAGCTGTCCGACTATTCGGATAACGCTTGGTGAAGCTCTTCACCTTCTCGACGAGGTCGGCGGCCTCCTCGACGTGGCCTCCAGAGCGCTCACCCTGCGTGTATTGGCATGATCTCCGATACAGCAGGTTGCGAACGCTCTCATCATACTGTAGTACCATGCTTAGAAAGCTTTTTGAACGATACAAACCTCTTGCTCGCAGCTTCCTCCGGTCCCCTTGTGCTCCCCCTACGCGCCGCGGATGTGCATGCCTCGGGAAGGGGCGGCCTGCCTCGGGAAGGGGCCAGGCTGCCTCGGGAAGGGGCGGCCTGCCTCGGGAAGGGGCGGCCTGCCTCGGGAAGGGGCGGCCTGCCTCGGGAAGGGGCGGCCTGCCTCGGGAAGGGGCGGCCTGCCTCGGGAAGGGGCGGCCTGCCTCGGGAAGGGGCGGCCTGCCTCGGGAAGGGGCGGCCTTGCCTCGGGAAGGGGCGGCCTGCCTCGGGAAGGGGCGGCCTGCCTCGGGAAGGGGCGGCCTCTAAACCCTAAACCCTAAACCCTAAACCCTAAACCCTAAACCAGAGTGACACAGATTCCATGCACTTTTGGAACATTCGCTTCTCCAGAAATTCGCATCGCTTTCAGATCCGCTTGATCAGCCTGAGTGTGACGAACGCCAGCTCGCCGATCGCCATTGACGCACTGCACAGTGCTCCGACTCAGTGCGCCAGTGTTTACGTCTCCGAGGTTAGGGTCCTGTTCCTGTTCCTGGTGTTCTATCGCATGTTGCCCTATTTCCATGTTGCCCTATTTCCAGAATCTTCTTCAGCATGCCCGTGACTGAATCGTTGTTTTTTGCAACCTTGCGTTTCAAATCCTCCAGGGAACACCAGCCCACATATGATCATCTTGCCATCCGATGTGTCACATGAAACAGGTTCTGAATCGCCTTCACGGATCTACAGATGACATCCCAACTAAATGTCAGAAATGTCCTGCCCACGATCCTATCTTCTGCATCCTTTCCCGAGCTAAGGTCAATTTCGTGACACCCACTGCCGCCTCATTAGTGACTTTGTTGTGAAGACCTTAGTAGGACTCCAATGTATTTGTGTATCAATCTTCTACCGAAAGGTCTTTGAGCGGTTGTACCTTCTGTAAACATGCCTAATGCCAGGCCTTAGGAGACATATTTGACTGAAACTTCAAGTAGATTTTTTTCTTCATTCATGCCGTTCACTTTTAGCCCTTTCGTTAATTTCCACTCTTCTTTTCGAGAAAGTTTTTTTGGGGTGGCGTGTGAATTCAAACAAGTTTTCAACGGCAGCAAGAGATACCTCCAAAGAGTACCAGTGCAGTTTAGTTATCATTTCTGCTAGGCCTTTACATGTATTTTAACTTTCATTTCAGAGGGTTGAAATGTTTTCAACCTCGTACACGCCCGACTCATGTCTCCCCTACACGCCGGCACGTAGCACCAAAGCCCTCCAACGATGCCGCTGTAAGACCATCCGCTGCTGTAGCCAGCATCAGATCTCAGCATGCAAGGCTTTGTTAGGTTTGAAGCTCTCTAGTCAGCACAGTTTGAGACCTGAGACCGCTAGGTTCGTGGTGATGCGTTCGGTGACAACAGAGTGTGCAGCAATGGCGTTGTGAGATCCATGGTTCAAAAGGTTATTATGAAGAACAAGATGATGAAAACATGAGGTTTGAATCCAGTGTAGGAGATCGCTTGTCATTTTGACTTGACACCAACCTTATGGCAGCGCAGAATAATCATAAGATACTTCCTTGCGATTAATGATTTTTGAATTGCATATTTTCCACATGCGATGCCTTGAAGATTTGTTTGATGGAGATTGCATCATCACGGTTGCAGATCCACGTAATTAGTCAAGCCCACTTGTTATATTAGACATCAAGCATTGCATAGATTGTTTCACAAGATTTCTGCATGCATTTCGCCTACTGCAGTGAGGATGTTTGATTGCATGTAAACACTGATGCCGCCAGAGGCAATCAAGACATCTTAAGCCTTGAACACCGTCGAGAGTCTCCACTTCTGAGATTTGCAGAGTGTGTTGATTTCTTGATGCGTGGGATTAGTTTTGAGCGTTCATCTAGCTGTGATGTCGGACATTTGAACCGTCAACACAGTATGCACACATGTATTATTTGTTCTATTGTGAAATAAAGTGATCTCAGTCTTGCATTCGAGGCCGTGCTAAAGAGCATTTCTGTATTTTCTTTCATTTCACATAAATGCAGAATGCATGCAGGGGTTGAATGATGATGAAAACATCGCTTCCCCTGTAGACCATTCCGACTCACTGTAAGCTTGGGATCGACATCACAAGTGGTAGTGATCTGATTGCAGAAATCTTTATACATTCATGAGGTATCATTCTTTGCAACAATCTAATTACAATGACAACCGCAAGTAGCATCAAATACATGCGCAATGGTCAGCACAATAAGCTTCATATTGGTTTCTTCGTTGTGCCTGCATAGCAGAGATACATCAAAAAGTTGCAAATAAACCTAATTATGCACAATGTATGATTGTAGCTCCAGTAAGCCACATTGATTGCTGTAGGATTCTTATCCTGTGGTTGAAACAGACTTTCCATGTCGCCGCAGCTACGTGGAGCATGTTGATCCTTGAGCATTTTGAATGCATGCTCAAGCAGAAATAATGTGAAGATGTTGCTTTTGAGGATCTGAACTGCAAATACTTAAATATTTCTAGCATATTTGCAAGATTGGAGTGCATGAAAGCACCTCATTTGCAAACTGATGGCGCAGCATTGTAAACCATACTTCCTCTCTGAATTCTCGTACATACGGCTCTCATGCTTGAAACAATGAATAAGAGAGCAGAAAAGGTGTATTCATCTTTTGCAATGTATTCTAAAGCCATCTTCATTCCTAGACAGCTTTCTCTGTCATGCAGTCATGTAAGAGAAGCGGAATTCAAAACTTTCTTTCAAAGTCAGAGACTAAGAAAAGGTCTTAGTCTATCTACATGGATACATTAGACGATTAAATTCTCATCCACATTCAAGCAGCAATAGATTCGAAGCCTCTCACCATGATGACTTGTCGTTGCATGCGGGTGAAGGATCAATCAGCCATCTCTTGCTTGCCCAGGGAGGGGGGATTTGGGGAAAGGAGAGTGGAGATAGCACCCTACCCCCTATTTCCCAATTTCAAACTCTTGAATCAAAGGGTAGATTTGTATTCTTTGCTAGCTACCCACCCCACCTTTCGTAAAGGTGATGAAGGGGAACCGGGGGTATTGGCGTGGTGAGCTCCAACGGCAATCGAAATGCCTTCTTTTCCATTAGCACCCCCACGTACCGTGATACAGTGAAATGCACGGGTATGAGAGAATCTTTCGGTCCTCTACCCCTCCAGACAAAGGAAGTCACTAGGGTGGAGGCTGATTCGAGACGCCTGTCGAAACCACTTTAAAAGACTAGTACAGACTGTACCAGAGGCACTTCATCCGTACATAGATGTGTACGATTGAAGCGCTGACTAAACAATTAAAATGAAGTGCTTCAAAAAGTAAGGCGGGGGACAGGGTACCACGCCAGTATAATTCAAATCACCCACCCTACTTTATCCCTGTCTCACTACCCCCCATTAAGAGAGCAAAACCCGGGGTAGCTGAATGGAAGTGTATATATGAACCCCTTCCCAAGGAGAAAAAAAAGACCAATTTTGCTAGAGCCTGCATATGGCCTTGTGAACGGCATGCGCGGCCGCCGGGTGACCGACTCCCGGCAGAATACCGTACCGGCCCCCGAGGCGCTCGGCCCAGGCCCTGACTCAGAGTCCGTCAGTGAGTGTCCGATGGTCGGAGCCCTGGAACGGCGGACGGTGAGTCTCAGGCTACCAGGCCCGGGCGGCCCGGGCGGGCGGCTAACGGCCCGGCGTGACCGTGTCGGACTCAGCAGCCGCGACCCGCACTGCAGTGGCAGTCAAATAGACTAAATACTTGCTAAACTAAGTCTATTGTTACGTAATTAACTGACTTCTAGGTTAAATAACAACAAAGCTTGTTAAATATGCCCCAACCCCCATTCTATCCCATACCCCCCACCCCCCACCCCCAGCTAGGAACCTATTTACCCCACCCAATAATATCGAATGAGTAGGTAGGGGTCCACAGGGTCCTCGGCGCTTCGTCATGGCTGCAGCGGAGGAGGCGATGGGACGGGTGGAGGTGAGAAAGGAGGAGGGAGGAAGAAGAGGGAGAGAGGAGAGAGAGGAGAGGAGGTAGATGAAAGAGGAGGGAGAGGAGAGAAGGGAGATCAGAGAGAGGAGAGACAGGAGGGAGATGCGAGAGCAAGGAGGTGAGAGAGCAGGGAGGAGAGAGGAAGCTATGGTCTTGAAGACGATGGTCATAAATGAAGAGATGAGCTGGGGCAGAGTTGAGGACATGAGTACGGGAACAGGAGTGAGAGCAGGACCAGCAGAAGGCGCAGGGCATACCAGTTGAAAATAATGGAGAGAGGAGGCCAAAGGATGTGAAGGAAGGCGGAAGAGGGTAAGATTGAGTCCTTCAAGTACATAGCCGTCTATCGAGGAATCCAAGGATAGGATGCTCTTGAAAGAGAGTAGAGAAACGAGATGAGACTAGCAACATGGGGAGGGCCGTAAGTGCTAGTCAGGGGAAGGTGCACGAGTAGGATGGAACAAGGGCTTGATGTAGTTCATGGATGAGGAACCATGCCGATATGCGAGCATGGACGACCATAGAGCGATGGAAGACTTTGAGGACATGGTGTTTGGGCTCTTGGGGTGTGATTCAGGATGAAAGAAATGGTTGACCATTCAAGTGAAGCGATTCTTTCCGTCGCGTTCAGTGGGGCAGATGTAGAGAGATCGACGTGATGAGCAGAAAGTTAGAAGCTCCTCGCTGAGGTGTCTTGTGTCTATATCACTGGGACACTCGTGAGAGAGCTCCCAGCTGGTTCGGCGCAGCTGGAGGGCGCTATATTTGCTCTTGTTGGAACAGGTTCGATAGGATTCTGAGACTGACAAATGCTTTCTGTTCACAGATCGTTGAGCCCAGTGATCGGGCCTACTTCATGGCAACGGTTCTAGACATTGAAGCCGGAAACAAGCGGTATTTGGTCAGGTGAGTTTCTAAAGCATTCATTGCCACGGTTATTGTTTTGCTTTCACTGGAAAAAGAATCGTCGAGCTCTTACTTTGACCTTGATGTTTGTTACTCTTAGTGTGTGACTGCCTGCAACATTGCAGATACCTGGGAGAAGCCGATCCTTGCTGGATCGACGCCTCGAGAGTGCGAGCGGTCCCGCCGAACATGGATGTTCAAGAATTTCAGAATTGGGATCCGCAGCCTGGAACCATGGTTGAAGTCTACTTTGCCGACGAAGGGCAGGAAAGCTGGTCCGCTGCAACTGTTGGACGAGAGGCGTGTTGCGTTGACGCCTGACCAGGTGGGAAGGGCAAGTTCAGAAGAACAAAGGAGGATTTTACTTCATAACCTTCCCTGATGAGGGAGACGTGGGGACCCACGAGGTGACCAACCTGATGGCGCGAAGACCTGGAGATGACCAGCTGTAGGTGGTGGAGAAGGAAAGAATCAGACCGTCGTATGCTCATACTCCGGCGAACTTGGTCAAGGGAGTTTTTCATGTCCCCCCTGGCCTCGAGAAGGACATGCTTCTTACGTCTGACCATCTTCCCAAGCTTGCGAAGCTGGTAGGTCAACGATACGAGATGGATGGTGCTGATAAGTTGCAGGCTGACTTGTTCGCCCTTCACTTGTCCCCGAACGGCAAGAGTTTGATCGGCCTGGTGACCCGAGTTTTTGCTTTGTTGTATGTCACTCAACATCTGGTATCCGTCAAACAGGGATTCTCCAGAGCTGTGGAAACTGCAGAGTCCGTGATCAACTTGCACTTCAGAAGGGTGCCACAACTTGCCGAGGTTCGGCCCCACCATCTCAACAAGCTCTCCACTCAACCGTGATCCTTGCAGATCAATTCCAGAGCTTCGGCTCTACAAAAGAAGCTCGCCACCACTGAAGACCAGATGAGCCGAGGATACTCGGTAGGATATGGCTTCCAGGTCGTGGTTAACTGACTTCGCTCAGCTCCCATTCAGAGTAGATCCGGACAAGTTGAAGATGGTGATCGGAGCGAAGGGTGCAAACATTCGGAAGGCAAAGTCTCTTCCAGGTAGTTCTGAGGGGAGTTTCATTTCAACCGCGGCTGAATCTCAAAAGGTATCCACCACATCGAGGCTCGACCTGACGGGGTGGTCACTGTGTGGGCGGAGAAGCGAGAAGAAGCTGAAGCCGCACGTGAACTCCTTGAGATCGTGACAGACTCTGTTGGCTTCATGGAGAACGAGGTGCTTGATTTGGATGTGGGATGAACGCGCATGACAAACATGTACAGGCTGGTTTCATCATCGGTCGCAAAGGCGAACAAGTCCAAGAGTTGGAAGATATGTCAGGATGCAGGATACAGGTGGACGGTGGTGCGAAACAGGTTCACATCACAGGAGTGAGAGGTTGTGTAGCAAAGGTAGTCAAGGGCGATTGGTGCTCGTCGGCTCACTGCTCACATGCAGGCCAAGGCGCTTCTTATCTACACCATCGAGACTTATCGTGAGCAGCGAGAGAAGGAGAGGGTGATCGAAAACTTGTCGGACGAGCTCAGATCCCTGGGAGTTCACTTCGGATTCGCTCGAGACGGGCCTGGAGGTAGATCGCTTGCCTTGCCCTCCGTGTCTGAATGTCGCTGGAAGCAGGACGGTATCCACGGGGCCAGGGAGTCAGCAGAGGCACGAGACCATCGGGAGCCCCAATGCCGACGAGAGGAAGAGGTGGGGCAGTCAATAACGGAGCCGGCAACGCGAATGAGAGGATGAATGGTCCCGTCATGCCGCCTGGTCCTCCCCAGATGATGCGAGGGGAAGCAGGACAGCAGCAGGTGCACTTTGTTCTCTTTGCTATTCATTCTAAGTCTAGAGCCATAGGTCATTCCGAGAGGAGGTTTTCGAGGAGGTCAGTCCAGCTCCAGCGTGGCTCAGAGAGGGGCAGCTGCTGGAGTTGTGCAGAGGGAGCAGCAGGGCGTGAACTTCTCTGTCACGGGCCTGGACGACCACCAGAAAAATAACTCTCCTCAGTCAGCCCCCAGCTACGGCACTAATCCGATGAACAAGCAACCTAACCATTCAATGCCGAACTCAGCACAGGCACTGGCAGGAGGGAGGGGAGGAGCTTCGGTACCCCAGGCACAGGCAGGAGGGAGGGGAGGAGCTTCGGTACCTAAGGCACAGGCAGGAGGGAGAGGAGGAGCTACAGTAGTAGGAGGGAGAGGAGGGGCAACGGCCCCCCAGGCACAAGCAGGAGGGAGAGGAGGGGCAACGGTACCCCAGGGACGGAATCAGCAGCAGCAGCAGCAGCAGCAGCAGCAGCAGCAGCAGCAGCAGCAGCAGGCAACCGAGGGCACTACAGCTACGACTGCTCCAGGGAAACCGCAGCAACCCAGACAGAATCAGCCCCGCATGCAGCCTGCCAAGCCTCTCCCAGCTGAAGGGCAGCAGCAGCAGAGCAGCGCCCAGGGAGTAGCGACCAACGGCTCAGGGGGGAAAGAAGAGGGAGCAGCAGACGGCAAGACAGCCGAGCAGGAGTCGCTTCCTCCCAGGCAGAGCACCGTTCAAAGGCGCCAGACCAACCAGAAGGCTCCGGCCAAGAGCCAGGAGACTGAGGGTGCAGCAGCTGCTGTGGAGAACCATCAGAGCCAACAATATTCTCAGCCTGGGACTCTGGAGGAGAGCGGAGGAACAGAGGTAAACGGGTTCGGGCATGCGGGCCAGGAAGATGGAAGTCAGTCGTCTCTGCGGGCGAAGCTAGCAGAGCAAGGGAAATTGCCAGAAAACGGACAGGTTTGTGCTCTACTGTTTCAGTCCCACAAGTGACATTGAGGCAAAACAGGCAGGACGAGGAGCAAGAGGACGTGGACGTGGACGAGGGAGGGGTTACCTCGGAGTGAGGCATGCTCGGGTGCAGGAATGATTCTCCGAGTCTCAGATGGATAGGGAGTATCCCTCCCGTTTCCGTGCCAGTGCAAGTAGTTCGCTTGTTACTCGGCCGATCCAAGTTTCTTATGGGTTGCACCGGCTCTTCACAGTTGTCTCTGGCATCCTGCGAACTTTTGATGTTGCAACAGTTTTCTCCCGCCTTCGTGCTCGCACGTGCATCCATGTGTGCAGGAAGACTGATGGGAAACACGCGAATCATTTTTAATCATTTTTGTTAACAACAACCTTCAGTGAGATCCAACCAAAACCCGTCAAGAAGGAAAAACATTCATGACACACGCACATGTCGCGCTTGCCACGTGTTGAGGAGACTCACTCGATATCAACAAGAACAAAAACTGTACAATCCTCAACAAAAAAAAGGGAGAAACTTCCTTGACTCCAGCCCTCTACCACCATTGAGCCGACGGAGGGAGCGGGTGGCTGCTGAGGCCCGAAGCTGAGGGAAGCTTGGGCTGCGGAAGGTAGGGATGAGTGTGGAAGGGAAGTGGGGAGGGGTCCCGGAGATTGCATAAGGAGAAGGCATGTAGAACAACTGCAGAACTCAGGATCAGAAACCAAAAGAAATCACACAACAACGTTACTTCTTTCCTCCTTCAACCCCAGGCCACCCCCCCCT